CAAATGGTCACAGCCAGACACCATTTATTTCTTGGGGAGGGGGGCGGGTTGAGGGCTGTGGAGAATGGCACAAAAAAGTGCAGAAATAAGTTAACTTATCAAGGGGGTGTCCTTCAGTCTGTCTGGATCAGACATCACATGGAGCCCCCCTCTACAATACTTCAGTGTCATTTAGCATGGGGGGTGGGGGGGGGGGGATAACGCACCCCAAAAAAATAAGGATATTGGCTTTTTGAATCAACCGAAAATGTTAATTTGAAATCCTCAAAAACATCCACCGGTAAATTGCTTTCTGCACTACGTATCCCTCTCGAACAAGGCAAATGGCAACATTACCGACAGGATGAGAATTTCCAACGATGCCCACTTCTGCCTTTTTTTTTAATCCTCCCGCCTCCACTTCCCCCTGATAGCCAGTTTGAAGCCTCATAACGGCAACTTTTCATCAATTTAGGCGTTTTGGTGCACTGATGAAGATGATTGTTGAGATACTAGTTCCAACTGAACCAGGAAATTCATCGGTCATTTCATGGATGCCATTCAGCTTCTTTGAGACAGAGACTGGAAAAGTCACAGAAGGGCGGAGGTGGACGTTCTTGGAACTGTATAGAACAAAACCCATTTGGGAGCATTGCCAATCAGCTGATTATGCTAAACAGTTGGACATATGGGTTTAAAAGTTTAAATTAATTTCGGCTCATCCTGAAAGTTCACTCCAAAGCCTGATATCCCGAACTTTTTTTTAGCAGTGTATGAAGATCACCAAAGACTTGTGTAGTCCTTGCCTTGCTTGTCTATCACACGGAAGCTAAATGTGCAAATCACTACCTCAAAAAAAAAAAAAAAAAAGAAAAAAAGAAAAAAGAAAATCCACCCGCACAATTCCAACATTTTCAGTTCCGGGAGCGTTCAGGATCGCTTGAGCTGCGCCAGCCTCTGCAGCAGCTGCGCCTGCTTGGCCTTGAGCTGCTTCCTCTCCTGAGCCTTCTGCCGTTCACAGGCGTGCAGCTGCCGCAGGTACTCAGTGGCCCGCGTCAGGATGGCCACCTTGGGCGTCTTGGCGCAGTCGGCCAAGCCGGGGATCTCGTCCCGCAACGACAGGAAGCGCGAGCGCAGGTCGTTGCGCCGCTTGCGCTCCAAGAAGTTGTGGGCCTTGCGTCGGTCCGTGTCCTCGCAGTCCGACGACTGGGGGCTGGAGAGCGGCGGCGGCGGGGAGGATGACGACGACGACGACGATGAGCAGTGGGGCGACGCGGGGGAAGTGGGGGACGAGGCGCCGAGGTCGGGAGACTCCGAACGGGCCCCGGCCACGATCACATGAGACCGCCTGCAATCGAAGTTGGAGGGGGCGTGGCCTAGCCGGGGTTGGTGGTAATGCTGACTCGGCTGATGGTGCGCCGGGGCGGAGGCTTCATGTCGGATCCTTTTACGGGGCGGCAGCTCCGCGGACGATAGCGGGAACGTGTCTGGTGACGGGGCGGCGTAGTTGTGCTGCTGTTGATGGATGGAGATGTGGAACCGCTTCATGCATGGGTCCAGCGGGTCCGCTCGCACCGTTATGGTCGCGGGTTTGCGGCTGTTGACCAGCCGGCGGGGTTTGCGTTGTTGCTTGTGCTCCACGGTCACCACGTCGATCTCTTCTTCGTCCTCGTCTTGGTCGTCCTCATCATCTAGGATGACAGACACCAAAGTTAACGCGGTGAACCCCCACCTGGTTGCGGTTCACCATCAACAAATTCAACGATTTGCGTTTTTTGTACTTCTTCTGTGAGACTTCAAGGGAGAGTTTCTCAACCTTTATTGAGTCAGGGCACATATGGTGGTACCTTAACTTACAAGTTTATCCTCATTTTTTTCTCAATTGAAATGCCATCACAGTGGACCACACAATCTCAATCATGATAAATAATGTGAATTTTTTTGAGGGTGGCGCAGCGATTAATGAAACAGAGTTGTGTCGTCATTGTCCGGCAATAGACGAAAATCTTGAGGGAATTTCTGCGCTCTTGTAAATTGAAACGCGCTTTTCTAATAATTGCTCCTCGGTGGATTTTCACTGCTCGGGAAGTAGACATCTCGAGGAAGAACACCATAAATAGGGCGCGAGGAGTTTGAGGCAGGCGTGTCCAAAGAAACGCCATAAAAACACTCAAGATTTAGTTCCAGTGATTATTGCTTTTTTTTTTTTTAATTTTCCTCATCCATCTCTTTTTAATGCCCAGAATTTGCCTGAAACAGAACTGTGCAAACTCCATGGACCAAGTCCCAGCCCGGGGCCGGCACTGTTCAGTCCGAGGCCACCCCACTGACACAATTGGCGCCACGGCGTGTTGAATGGAGGAATGCAGCAACAAGTCCCCTTTGTGACATTCCACGCGCCATTATGCACGGTCTAATTTCAACATCACATGCTCGCCTACATACCGAGCTCAGTCTGATGGGTTCAGCGAGTGAAAATGGGGGGGGAAAAAAAAAAAAAAGAGAGTTCTCCACTTAGAGGAGCATTTAAGGGGACATATGTAAAGATGACTTTTTAATTTATTGTTTACAAATAGTCCATAAATAATCCAACTCAAATGTGAAATTAAATAACCAAGTAATTTTTTTTTTTATCCTTTTTCTGAAAATGTGTCTGTGAGCGAGTATTTCTAAAAGTCCATGTCCTCCCTACTGTTATGTAACTAATTTAAATACACTTTGCCCTTGACTTCGTATCTCCACTGGCCTAAAATCCCGAGCCACTTTCAAGCCACGGTCAGTCTACACTGTCAAAACACTATCACGTTGAAGTCAAAAGGTAAGCAGAGCTGCATTTAGTTTTGTTGCCTGAGCAGACCAGGTGACGTTAACGTGGGAAATCGATGTTTGTCTCTATCTGCTGCATGCGCCATATGATTCTCCAACCACTGTTCCACAGGAAATGTCCACATTCACTTAAATGGCCCATAAATTTGTTTACTGATTACAAATAATGAATCTTTGCTTAACTATCCATGACGGTGACCTATAGTGATAGACAGAACAATTAAATGCTATTCCACTAGATGGCAGAAAGTTCAATTAACTTGAATATCCACCAAGTGATGTACATACAACAGAATACCGTCATGCACATGTAAAAGATTTCAGCGTATGGAAGGAATGCAAAGCAAACCTCTGTTATTTGCTGAAAAATTCACCTATTTGCTGATTTTGTCCTCATGCTAAAGCCCTGTACGATAAGTATGGCTTTGGGGCCATCTTGATGCAAGGAACTATGTTGAGGTGAGTTGAAGAGATAAACGTAGTGCTTTGATGCCATCTATAGGCAGTTATAAAACTTCTTGAGGATGCGTCAAATACTGCTTTTTGCTGCAGTATTCGGTGCAGTTCTTGATCCATTTAAGATAGTATTTTCTCATGTAAAAATGGCGTTTCTACCCTCCATGCTGCATTTCCAAGAACGACCCTATCGAGTTGGCGTCAAGCGCAAGACGGCACCGCAGAGGTGCGCTGCCGTAGTCATAAGTCAGTCAGGAACAGGAGGCGGGGAGGTAGCAGCTGGTCCGCTGGCGCTAGGCCAGGCGGCAGATGTTCAAATGGGCGCGTCACTCCTTGGAGCATGTGTTGCATGCACCAAGGTAACGCATTGCAGTCATGTACCGGGCATGCATTTTTCTTTCTAGCGCGAGCAGAGCAGCAAAGCTAAATATTGACTCCAGGCGCAGACTCATCGTAGACGTTCCATACACATACAAAAATCAAGCTTCCATGTTGAGAGATGCTGTCAAAGGCAACATAAATCTAACAATGTTTAGTGTAAAAGAAGATGTGCTTCACTCATATTTTGGTTACCTTATATAGCTCGAGGAGTTAAAAAATTAAAGATGCATTAACTTGGAGCACAGTTCCACATCAATACAAAGTACAACTTAGATTAAAAGCTTACATTTGCTGGATGGAGCACCTTTCAAGGGACATTTACAAAGTGGCTCTCGTTGGATTTTATGGAGGGGGTGCACCTAATGCTGTGACAAACTTTCTTGAGGTACAAAAATCACTGTTATATAATTTTTTTCCCCATTGAAACGACATCAGGTCCATCATATTTTTAGAGTCACGGAAAATAGCACTGTAGTGTAAAATATAAACGCAAAACAGAAAAAAAAAAAAAAGAAAAATGGGTTCACAAAAAGTCTAAGCCGAACGCCACACACACATTGTACAGTACTACTACAATGTGTTGTTGTGTGCCTTTCAGGGGCGGGGCCTAGGAAGGAGTTGCTGCAGGCACCCGCCCCTAGGCGGCGGCAGCAGCACACTTCACAACATCAGGCCAGCATCCATTCACATTGGCTTCCTTGCAATGGAAGGACAATGTCAGTTGCTGTCAGTAATGCGCCATTGACTTTGTAGCTGGTTCGCCAGTTGCCAATAAACTCCACAAAGAACAAGAAATGACGATGCATGAGGTACAGTCTCGTTTTCCTACATTAGACTGAGCTAATTGCATTTTCGCTGACTGTAATTCAAATATGGAAAAAGGCACAGTGTATTGGTGCAGGGTGTTGCTATAAACACGAACCTGATGAGTTGGTGTGGGACTCCGACCCAGAAGAGATTTGCTTCTTGCAACCTCCGCCCAAGGGGAAGGTGAGCACAGCGGCCGGGTCCACGCAATCCGCTACCAAACAACCGAGGGGCAGCGCGTCGGCAGGTACACCCTGTGCCCTCCCCGGTGACGTGCCGGTAACCACTTTGGTGGTGGCGGGGCCCCCCTTGGCCTGGCAGGGGTGGCAGCGCTCTCCCACCACCCTCTCCAGCTGCCGGCCTGTCGAGAACCCGCTCCACATGCAGTCCTGGATAATGATGGAGCTCAGGTTCCCCACGGAGTCTGTGGCTGGGGTCACTTTGCAGGGGGGGTCCTGCTGCTGCTGCTGCTGTTGTTGTTGTTGTTGTTGTTGTTGTTGTTGTTGTTCGTCCTCCTGCCCCAGAAAATGCGACACCCACTCCAGCTTGTCCCCAAGCGTGGGGCACACCAGCCCGAACCTGCCCGACCCCTCCACAGTCCGGATGGGGGACATAGGAGGGGTGGGCACCAGCTCAAATTTCTTCCATATGTCCTCGCTGGGCGCCGTGGCCTTGAAGAAATCCTCCTCCGGGTTGTGATGGTCGTCATAGAAGTAGTGCTGGTAGTAGTCCAGGTGGTCCATGTCCCAGCTGTCATAACGGGGCGCAGTGGAGGAGCTGATGCCAGGCATAGAGGCAGTGGCGGAGGGGGGTCACTCCTTGTTCCCTCGGTCTGCAGAGAGAGAGGAGCACACTTTGATTGACACCCAATCAACAATTGAAAACTTTGAAAAATTGAACCCCATACTTGTGCATCATATGCAAGATAATCAAGACCTGGACCGCTTTCTCCAACATGCAATGCCGCCTCTGTCTGGCTTTCCCTTAAATTAAGTCAGGCCAGAGAATTAAGAGTTAAAAAAAAACACGCAGTCTATCATGATTAGTCACAAGCCAGTTTACCAATAAGGCAAAAAGTGTGCCTTTTTCCCTAGCTGAGAACTTTCAAGTTTCGCAATGGAGTTTCATTGCATAACAATGTTTTATCGTAGTAGATGGTGGCAAAACAGAGAGTGGATGCGAAGAGGGAGGAGGTGGGTGGGGGCTGGTTGTTCAGCTAATCAGCAGAGGTGATTAAATTAGACGGCGGTGGATCAATTAGCGCGCAAACTTCAGACCCACTCCGCTTCTCTTATCAATTCATCAAATAAGAGCCCGATGTGCTCAGGCGCCGCCATTGGGGGCCGTCGATGTCCATCAGAATCGGCGTGCTGAAATTCCGGAGCGTTTTGTTTTGGTTTGGTTTTTACCTGCTGTGCACGTTGAAAAATCTGCGTGCTCCTTCATAGATCCCCCGTCAAGCAAACGACCTCAGCAATGAGCATCAAACGGCGCATGCACACGAGTCGCTTCTTCTTCCTGTCCTTTTCTCTTCCGCCTGCGTTGTAAACAGTCTTCAAACAAATGCGGTGTGAAACTTGCCGCGGTTGCCGCGCGAGCTCCGCCCGCATTCACTTTCTTTTGCAGAATGGCGCGCAGTGTGATTTCCCTGGAAAGGACACTTGCCTATTATGCATAAAGGGCGGATCGTAGTAGAGAGGCCACGCCTACAATTTAAAGCGCCAGCACAACCCCAAAACAAACGGAGAACTGCTGTTGAAAAAATAAATCGCGGTTGGGATAAACTGAACAATTTAAAGCTGGAACTCTTTGAATCTGTCAAAATATTTAAATGAGAGCAAGAAAAACAAAGAAACAAAAATAAGGAAAGCAGTTTGATAATTTATTCTATGTTTGCATCCAGTTTGAGCTCCATGTACTACTACGTTCTTTGTCCCCACGAGTAAGAAAAGTCGGTGTAGTAGTGGAACGACTGTTTTATTAATAGTGTTTTCTCCACTATTATATGACATTTGTGTACACTTGTAGGACAACCTTCGAATACTGGGAGCACAATCTCATTTTACAGTGAGGCAAATCTGAGCTCTAGTTGACAACTGCGCATCACTAGTCCGAGTAGAGAAGGGCCTCACGTTAACTAGTAGAATTTTCTAATATCACTCGTAGTACAAATAACATACAGATATCGATGTCCATCTTGAAAAATAAAAAATGTAGTTCAACGTTATGAGGGTTGTTACTTAAATAAATTACGAGATATTTTATACACATTTTAATTGTTTTTTTAACCTCATTCACACGTGACCTGGCCACTCGATCCAAAAATGAAATTGTGGCCTTTGAGCACACAAATTTGCCCAGCCGTGGTTTTATACTGAATAAGAGAGCCAATCCGATTGTGTTTTGAGTAGTTTCACAACCACATACGGTTGCATGTCACAGTATGGAATCAATATTTAGTGGAAGCTGCATCGCCTTTCCCTTCAAATGGTGGCATGCATTCAGAAAGTGTGTGTGTGTGTGTGTGTGTGTGTGTGTGTGTGTGTGTGTGTGTGCTCAACAGCTGTATGTAACAACTGCTGACATTTGTTTTTCTTGCCACACGAAACCCTCAAAGTGAGTCACGGAACTTTGGCGCGCACCGACGTCTCCAGAAGAATGATTGGGAAATATCCCATATATAACTTCTCCGACGAAGTTCATCAACAAGCAGACAGTAGGGAAATCCCGTCCTTCGCATGTCTGCACATTTAAACATCCCGGATCTCTTGTCATTGGTTCTCTGTTCCTCTTCTCGCCCTTCTTCTATCTATCCACCCTGAGCTTTTATCCCGCCGCGACCCCTGATCAAAATGATCTCAAGCCGACATGAAACCCTGAGACATTCGAGGTTGAGATCCTTTGCTCTCAGGGGAGATATTGAACTAACCGAATGGAGAAACACTCACGCCAGCTCTCGCTTTCCCAGTCGGTAGCTCTTTTTTCCCGCTCAGACTCTCTTCTTTTTCTCCCTTTTATCTTGTGTGAAGCACTTAATCGTCTCCCCCTTGATTTTAGTTATCAGGACTAAATGGTGGTCATGTAAAGAGAAGTGTCTTCCAAATAGCTCATTTAAAAATAACTGTTTAGATGAATCAAGCAAGCACAATTTTATGTGTTTACTTCTTTTTGACATTTTTGGCTCTTGCACTTTGACCATGAAAACAACTCTGTTGCGAGACTATGTTGTTTTTTCTATTGATGTCGTTTTTGCCACATTTTCAATCTCGCGTCATGTGGCATCACCATGGTAGGCCCGTTTGGGGGCTTTATAAATTTCAAATGGCATGGCGTATCCGCAAAAAGGTACTGATGCCTTCTCTCCTCAATTAGTGGCCTCCGCTCAATTAGACGCGCCAGTTCAATGAATAAGTGACAGTGAATTCAACAAAGAAGAAACCAAGAAACACGAAGAATATTAACCGATGGCAGTTGGCTACTTTCATTGGACAATACCCCAAAATCTCTCTCTCTCTCTCTCTCTCTCTCTCTCTCTCTCTCTCTCTCTCTCTCTCTCTCTATATATATATAGATTTATCTGTCGTGAGAAAGCAAAGCAAATCACGGAGCATTCTTTCTTGACAATCACACCATGTTTTTCTGGTTCAAAAAAAAAAAAAAAAAAACACCACTGTATATCAAAAGCGGATAAAGGGTCATAGTGTGCTCTTCAATCGCTGGTTGTTGTGCGGCCAAGAGTTGCAGATCAATTTTTTTTTCGCAATGGTCCACTTCACTTCATCTGCTGGAGGAAGTGGAAGAAATTTCACTCGACACAGGAAGGCCAGAGCTGGCACAAGAAACAAAACAAAACAACAAAAAAAAAAAAGAATGCACTTGAGGGAAGACTGACGGCTGGGAAAAATAAAGAGGGGCGGCGGCATCCAACACCTTCCTCCTCCTACTCCTCCTCCAGGGTCCTTCCTAATGTCAGCTGACCTCCCCCGCCCGACTGCGACCTTCCGGGCTGATCAATGGACATCCTAGTCTGGGAGCCACCCGTCAACGTGTCTGGCCTTCTACGGGTTCGTTTCATGTAATCTAGGAGACCGCCCAGGAAAAAGGACAGCTGCTACCCGCTGGATGCCGGTGACCTCCCTCACACACACATACACGTAGGCAAACACACTCATGAACAAGGGACGGGATTATCTTTCAGTCCAGATGATCCTTACATTCATCTGCTGCAGACTGGGGTTCACCTACACATCCATAGTCACATAACCTTTAATTTTCAAAGGGACGGTTTCAGTAAAATGAGTAGATTCAAAAAAAAAAAAAAAAACTTTCTAGCTATATAGGACAACAAATTAGTTCCTCGCCCATCATGCAGTGCATTTACTGTTGTCATCACTCTGAGTCGGCAACTTGCCTTGTTGCAACTCCTTAGCGCCATCTTTGGTTACGATGGTATCAGAAGCTGTCTAATCAAACCCCCGCGATTTGGAAACGACTTGCAATTTTTTTTCCGCATCATGAAAACTAGTCACTGAAAAATTCACCAAAACGCCACAATATGCAGGCCAAGCCTTCGGGAAAAGAAGCGTTCACTCGGAAGTGGGCGAGATGAGCAGTGGCTTATTTGCATGAGACAGAACCCCCTCCTCAAAATTGTCTAATAAGCAAGAAAAAGCGAGTGTCAATTTTTTTATCTCTTGATCCTTGGTGTCGAAAGCATGTTACGTAACACCAGGGCAGCATTTTAAATTGTGAACACGAAATTTTTCATATGTCTCTTTTCTTAAAATATGCCCTTGTTGGAAAGACATGAGCCTTTTTTATCACTTTTTTTTTTTTTTAAATAAAGTCACACACATCTCCAACTGTAACATAATACTGTATCATCTAAATATTTGAGCAGCAGAATGTTTGCGGTGATTCAAACCGAGCAATTACAGTTGCACAATGGCCCGTCAGTAATTTGTGACGGGGGATGTTTTCGATTCCGAGCAAAAAAATGAAAATGAACGATTTGCATAAATAAGAGAACAACAGACGCATGTAATTAAACGGCGTATTGATTTTAATCAGTGGTGCAGCAAATTGACGGGCGGCTACCACCGGAATAATGATGGTGGGAAAAAGTTAATAAGAAGGTGAGCGTGCTTCCCTGCAGCGGCTTGTTGAGGACGCTACGTCTCTACAAGCAATCGACAGGTCACCTCTCCATCCCGATCGTGAGGGACAGCCCATCCCGAGCTGTTGCTCAGTTCTTCTCGCCTTCCCTCTCCGTGACTTTCATCGCATTCTGGATAAAAATCAATCCGGGATTAAGGCGCTGTCAGTGGAGACCGGAGAAAGAAACAGAGAGTGCGGGGAGAAAAGGGCAAAAAGTGTATTTGCGTGGATGAGAAAGTTTGTGAAGATTTATGCCGAATAATCAACCACCGAGAAGTTCAGAAGATCGCGGAGACGAGCGCAGAGGTGAACGAAAGGCTCCGTTGATGTGAGGGGGGAGAGTAACATAGCGACGGATCAGGGAGGTGAAGCGATAACGGTTCATGGGAGCAGACTTGAAGGAAACTATGCAATGACATCACTGATACTCGGCAGGGTGATGTTACTGAGCATTCTTGAAGCATTGCACATGAAAATAACGCAATGCAAACATCCAAAACTAAAAAACGCTGTGTGCTGCGTAAGAAGAAAACGCAATTAAAACCTAGACCATGACCATTACCCAATCGAAATTATCCATCATCAAGAAGTGCAATCCAAAATACGTACATGCTATATACAGCTCAAAAGTACCCTTACGTATACCGTATACCAGGGATGTCAAATTCAATTTTGTCGCGGGCCACTTTGGAGTTACGTTTTACCTCGGCGGGCCGTTACGACAATAAAACAGAATGAATGTTTAACTATCTCTTTGCATCACTTGTACACAACCAATTGATGGATGGATAGTTTGGAAATCACTCAAGTGAACTATATGCTTGTGAAATTAGGTTTAACATTTCTTTTTTTTCCCGACAATGGTCTTTTTGGGTGAAGTTTCTCTTCAACTCTTACCTGGCTGACAGTCTCGGCTGTCACTTCAGCCTTCATTGGAGCTGTCGCTGCTTCCTAAAAACAGCTATTTGTTGTTTGTTCCATTATTGTTGAAGTGAGTGTAAAGAGGGTCCCAAAATTATTGCAAAATCGCAACGTCATATATGACACATGACACTTTGATATTGCAGTCCAGATTTTAGCAAGGAGCATGCAAGTTGACACGCTTGATGTTCTTTCGCGGGCCAAATAAAACGATGTGGCGGGCCAGATCTGGCCCCCGGGCCTTGACTTTGACACCTGTGCCATATACAGTACTACATATACAGTAAATGTGTATAGCAGAGTATGGTACGGTACTGTGAAAAGTCTACACACCCTTGCGGACCATAGCCTGGGTGTAAGATGTCCCCACAAAATAGCCAGGGAAAGCCTACTAGAATATCCGAACTTTATTTAGTCTTCATCAGAGGCACTTCAAATGATGACAAGCATTTTTTACACAGCTACATCCAGTTACGAGAGAACGTGCGCATTTATGCCACGGCGTTATCTCAGTTGTTTATTTTTACTTACCCTCTCTGTAAGATAAAACAGTTTTCCGCGAAGTTGTACAGGTTGTAGATCACATTAATGGTGGGGAAAGCGATGAAATGATTGATCCCCAAAACCTGCAAAAGCGTATGCAAAGGCTCAGTCAAGTGGGGGGGGGGGGGGCAGGGAGAAGACACACATGTCTGCCATGCAACTGTTTTAGGCAAATGAAAGCAAACAAGGGCGCGTCAAGAGTTGCCGAATTATTCTCGTCAACCGTTTTACCATATGTTACGTAACACAACCGCCACCTTGCATAATATCAGCACGTGTTCTGAGCTGGCTGATTTGGTTATATATATGATTTAATGGAACAAATTACATTCGATCCTATTCCCTTGTTTCTCTTTTGCTACCTTGAGCTGCTCCTTTTGTCAACCAGAACTCGCTGACCCCCCCCAGAGAGAAGTGCGAAAATCACTTGACTTCACCATGCCTTGAAGCTGGAAGTCTAAAATCAGACAGCGATTCTGTTTTGTCTGATTTTTTTTATTTATATAAATTTTTTTTCTTAATCTTCTTAAATGTCGTTTTCTGATTCAGACCCTCATGTCCTGATTCCACGCGATCACTCCAAATGTATTCCTCAGTCGGTCTCTCTCGGTACACGGTGTACCCGAATTTAACCAGAGGCAAATTGCGTTATAAAATGCAATATTTGATGCATAATCACCAGCTTCACTTGGAGAAGTCTTCAGTCTTGGAGTTGACTGTTCTCATTTGCCTTTTGAACACAGTGACGATGTAGCCTTGACGCGCTGATAGAGAATCGTGAAGCAGTCGTTTATTTAAAAAACAAAAAAGAAAAACATTCCGACAAACACTTATTTGAGGGGACACAAATAAAGTTGGCGTCGCATATCTACTCTGACTGAATGCTATGTCCTTTGGAGACATCACAACGCACAAACACTTTGATAATGTGATGCTTTTAACTACTTATCTTTGTTCCTAACATTTTGGACTGAATACAAACTCTTTAGTGTGAAGTCAGTCGGAGGCCGGATTTTGGGATCCACCCCCAAACTCATTATCTGAAAATCAATCACCCCCCCCCGCCCCCCACTGTGAGTTCAGCATTCTAATTTGCTGAGAGTCAAATGTAGCTTTGAGGGGCTGACAGAAATTCAATGATTTTGGCCTCTCGGTTTAAGACCGTCTTAAGTGGGAAATAGCTCAAATAAAATCCGATATTTGGACAAATTGATTGATGGGGGTCGACGGCTAACGTCAGGAGCCAGCCACCACAGGCTGTGGCGCAACCTCGGCAGCATAGATCGATACTTTCATTGAAAGAGGAGTTCAGAACATTCAGAGGATCACGCAGTTTATCGCTTTATGTCAAACTCAACATAAAACAAAGAGAATTACATGAACAAACAGCTGCCTAGCCCTGTGTTGAAAAAGACTGTTCCGCTTCATGCAAACAAAAAAATGCCAAACACCATAGACGGGCTAGCTAGCATGCGATGCATGTCATAACCCTTTTAGACACGGATGGACAATCGGTGGAGCAACACATGCAGACAGATAATAAAACAAGACTTACAGGGATGTATTCTTTATCCTCTAAGAATGATGACTAATATTACTGTGGCTTCCTGAGGAGTTGTGACCGGCACCACTGTTGTTATGCTGTCCCAAAGTGCACACAACAGAACTCCATCCAGAAGGAGAAGCACAATGTCCATTAAATTGAAGCTAAAAGTTTTTTTTTAACTTTAATACTGTACATTCTGTGCATGTATTTTGTAACTACATGTTGTGAATAAACTAAAATATTCGAGTGTCATTTTTTTGATTCGAAAGCACGAGAGGGGAGGCATTTCCATTCATTTCAATTGGGCACGATGGTTTGCGATGTGAGTGTTTTGAGTTCCAAGTGTGGACACAGAACAAATTCAACTTATATCTCAAGAGATTTTATTTCCAGGCAGGATATTTTGTCAAACCGCCGTTCTTTTGATTTCGGTGGCTTTAAAAAGAACAAATGGGGGATGGGGGGGTTGCGTTGAGAGGTTACTGGACCTGTCGCCTGGAGGCAGGAGACACAGATGGAAGCAGACGCGCGCGCACACACACACACACACACACACACACACACACACACACACACACACACACACACACACACGCAGAAAAACATCTGAGGAAACGTTCAAAAGGCTTGGCTTGTCAACGGAGAAGACAGATAGATGGATGGATCTGTTGTGAGGGGATGGGGTGAAGAAGACTTTGAGGCGGGGGAGCTTGGGCGCGGCGGGGGGGAATAGGCCCACCACCACATCATCACCCTCATTACAATCACTTTCGCAACGGCGCACGCTGAAATAATCAAATAAACGGCCTGCCTAGATGGGTGGCAGCGGGCGGATGTGATAAACGATTTGCCGCCGCTCCGTCAATTAGACGTAACCGACTCGCCTCGTCTTGACTTTGCTGTGTCTAATTTGGAAGCTGACGCTTTGTGATTCAGACGGACTCTGCAACCGCGGATGAGACTGCGTGTGGTTTTCGCAGGCGCTAGTCAGGAGCTACGAATGAGAGCGCGTCGGACAGGAGTGGAAAGGAAGCTGGAGAGACCACAAGGCCTCGTTGCTCTTCCCCTAATTAGGACTAATTGTCTCTGGGAAAGTCCCCGTGCGCCGCCGTGGGTGTGAATCCCCACGCAAGGGTGACTCGAAACAAATCGGTTGAGACAAATCGTATTGTTTTGCAGCACGCCGGCCGATTTGGCTCATTGCGCTTGTGTATCATGTCAAGCCCCATTCAGACGGCCCCTGCAGAAACAACAGAAAACACCACATGCTCTTAAAACTGCAGGGTCACAAGTAACCCGAATTGGGAGGAATAACCCAATCCTGGGTCGAAAAGGGACCAATTCTGGTTATTCATACCCATTGGGTTGAGGATTTGACCCAGCATGTTGGGTCAAGAATTTTAGGGGTAAAAGCAACCCATACGAATGAGTTAAAGCTACCAAGAAATGGATTACCAAGTTATCAGTATAGCTGTCGTTGAAATAATGCACATTTTTGACCCAAACTGGATTATTTTTGACTCCATTGTTTTAAGAGTGAAGAAGTAGGAAAAAGCTCCCCTTGTCAGGGGTCACCAGAGCAATTTTCTGGTGACCATTTCAGCGTGTACGCTGTCACAGTCGCACGCTTCACAAACGCAGGCACGGACGGGATCGAAAATGGGTGGATGGTCTTGATGGTGGCGTAGTCGTAAACTGAGTGAGCGTCATGGACTTTCTTTTTTTGGACTTTGTCATTTTATGTTAAGTGTTCTTTTGATGGCGGCGCGGGCGCCCGCAGCGGCTCCTCTTGTTGTCTGTTGTCTGTTTAAGAGGGAGGAAATTTCATCTGTGCTGTATGTTCAAAGAGTGACCTACACATGCCATGATATCATCAGCTCATTTACATTTTATGACTGCTAATCTTCCCCCCGATGAGTCTCAGATGTTTTCACAGCAAGACGTCACTTCGTGTCGTCCATAGTCCACAGTTCTTATAGTCGATGCTTCCTCTTGTAATCCGACACAGCTGATAAAAACTGCAGACTCGTGCGACTTCTTTTCACAAAGCCTTCACTGCATCGCGACCTTCTGAGAGTGTCGAGCACCCACCCACGCACACAATATTCCCTTTGCCGTTTTGGGGGTCCTCACCTCGCGACAAAGCCTTTCTGATCACTGTCACCTACTTCACAAACTCCCCCCGCCGCCTCCCCTTCTACGCAAACAGCCCACAATTGTTTCTCTCACACCGCCCAGCTGAAGAAGACACAATGCTGAGTGGAACAAGAGCAACTCCTCCTCAAATGTGCTGAATTGTTGATGTGTCTTCTCCCGTTGTGTTTGAGGCGAATGTCCTTATGACGCTGCGGGCGGAAGGCCACTGCGTGAAGGAATTCGAGCCATTCCGGGAATCTTTCCTTCAAGCCAAACAAAAACAGAGTCACGAAAATACATTCATTGCATCACATGTAACACATTCCTGACACCGCTTACGCTTCAGGCATGGCGTTGAAATACATATGTTATATTACAATAAAATACCACCTACTATCCTATTATGTGGCCAATCTACAACAAGAAATATGCAGTTGTCCTCGATAGGGAATTTGGTTGAGAGACAAAGTGGAGGGCCAGAGAGGACACAGGATGGAGGTGTTGAGCGACAAGAGAACAATGGGCACAACAACAGTTGTATCAACAACAGCAATAGCCCCATGATGATTCGCAGTCACTTGTGAGTGTTCAACGAGCCTAACATGCACGTGCTTGAAATGTCATCCAAGCAGGCAAGTCAGAATTGAGATTCAAACCCAGAAAACGTCTTGACCGTAAGCTGAAATACATTCTCGTCTCCTTCTTTCTTTTACTTTTGCAGGCATTTTCGCAGACTATTTTGTTTTTAATGATTCAATTTTTTTTGTTTGATTTTGTTTGCGTTTTTTTTTTTTCTGTGAGCTGAAAAATAGTGTAGTTATTTTTTATAGTGGCATAAGTGTATTCTATACCAATGGTCCCCAACCGCCGGGCCGCGGGTCATTTGGTGCCGGGCCGCACAGAAAGAATAAATACCTTCCATTCCTTCCGTTTAATTCATTTCAGAATCTGATTATATATTTTATTTTGAAAAATTACCGGATTCTCTGTTATGTCAGTCTACAATATGTCACTCTTGACCCAGGTGAATGCGCGCTTCTCGGTCACGTGACAGGAAATGAAATCCAGGAGCTCGCAAAATGAATTAAAAAAAAAAAAAAACAAACGTCTTTGAAAAGTTTTTTCGGGAACGGCGCAGCCAGGACACAGAAGAGGAGCCTACGAGTTTCAAGAAAGAGAAGGCTACATTTAATAGACAGTATCAGGAGTCCTATTTCAAATACGGCTTTATCTCAACGGGATATTCATACGCACCAAGCCAACTCTGCCTAATAAGCGGCGATTTATTTGCGGCGTATCTTATTTTGAAGGCACGTTTAAACATTACCATGGTGACCAGAGAACGTTGCGGCCAGATAGGACGTTCCTAGTGTCATGATTCGTGTTTATTATGTTTCGAAAATACCACACTTTTCATGCAGGTCATATCATATTGTTGTATCTATTCCCTGAGAATATTGTCTGCCATGAAACCGCTCCGTGGGGCAAAAAAAGTTGGGGACCTCTGTTCTATACTATTTAAGCTTCTAGTGTGCACACTGAAAAAAAATGTATATAAAAATTGATTTATTTACTTACTGTATTTTTTTTCTTTTTTGCCTTCAGGTCTCTGTTGTTTACTGGCTGCGATGCTGATGACTAAACGAGTGACAAGTCAGAAGGACAACATCATGTGTAGTTTACGATCAGAAATAGTGGTGAATAAGGAGTGCAGTGAGACCCTCAGGTTACAATCTATAGAGTTAATTATTGGACTTCACTTTTACTGCAAGTGTACTTCAAGCCCTCGCATACTGTATGCATGTTTGGTGCATGTTTGTTCTATTGCTGGGATGCCAGGAGCGTCCTGTTACATTAAATAGTGAGGAGTAGAGAGGAAAGCTCACATTTCCTCTGTTGTAACCCTCCCATCTTGGGGCAAGAAGGAAGCAAAAGTCCAAAGTATCAGAATGTCGTATCAAAGCAATAAAGTAGGTTTGAGGCAAAGTATTGATTGACAAAATAACCGGCAGATGCGATCGTTGGCAAGCAAGTGAGCAGGCCTTGAGGGGAAGGGCTTTTTTGGTGCGCTGTTATCTTTTGGCCTCAGGGGCTCTCTGTTGGGGTGGGGGTGGGGGGCTTCAATTTATTGGCCCTGTAGTGACAGATGTCACTCCCTTGTTAAAAAAAAAAAAACATCACTAATTCAGCACTAATCGGCAGATGATACTGTAAGTGAGCAGGATCACCCCTCTTCAGAAAAAAAATGCAAGTGTTTATCTTTACACACTTTGAATACGTTCGGAATGTGCCAACGGCATCTCTTCTGCATTTTTTCGGAAATTGTACCAAAACAATCTATCTAAAATATATTATTCTAGATTCCCTAACTTCGTCCAACTATCCACTTTCTGATCCGCTAATCCCTCCTAGTAGCTGACTTTGGGCGAGAGGTGCACCCTAAAATGGTCACTATCATTAAAAAAAATAATAATAATAACAATAATCATTTTATAGCAATTTTTCAGAGGTTTAAACACTATCAACAGTCTTCGTCTTTAGAGGACAAACAACAGTGCTTGAGAATGAACCAAAAGTGCATGCACTCCATTTTGCAGCCCACATGGTATCCACAGGTAGCCCCCAAGGACCACACGGGCAGCCCACGGACCTGTTGTAGAAACAGCTTATCACTGATTGGACATTGTGATTTTCTAGCCTGAAGATTTATTTCCCCCCTGCTCATGAGTCTGACGATACTTCCTCAATGCAGGCATCCTGGCTGAAAAAAAAAATGTTTGTGTTAGCATTTTTTAATGCGCTGGTGCCTGACTTCTTTACGACTGCCCCCCCCCCCCACACACACACACACGTGTGAGTTTCTACATGCATGTGCACATGTTGCACACGCATGATTCTGTGTTGAGCGTGAGCCAGGTGATGAAGCATAACCCCCAGGGACACCTCGCATCAAGGGTGGCAAATCATGGTGATTGATCAGTCCTCTGCCCCCACCCGTCCTCATTCCAATTCAATCCTCCCCTTTGCCCTCGCCTCCCACGAAGCCCCCCACGCCCCTGGTGATCAATCACGCCGTCAATCACACAGGCAGCAATGACATTCTTCAATACTTCGCCCCCCCGTCCCTATGCCAAGGTTTATGATGACAAAGACAAACTCTTCCCTTTTGGTCCCTGAAGTAATCATGGCGCACATGCTGATACAGAACAGGCTGGAGGGGGCACACTGGACACACCTAATCACCTCATGATCCTCATTAGTGAAGCATTTGTCTGTGAGTCACATGACTCATCCATGTTGTCCTGAATGCCAACACGAGTGAATATGCACGTGAACAAAAGAAAGAGCAACATTATTTGGACGTGGTAAAGCGTCACCTTCTCATCTGTAGTTGCCGTGGTTACCAGGTTCCGCGCCTTGGGAATTTTGATGAGCTGTAAACGATGTACTGTAGGAGAAATATGCACGTTCAATGCACTTGTCGAGATTGCACTTCAGGGAGCACTTACACCAAACGCTAATCTGTGCATCTGACAAATCTAACTGCAGCTCTACTTACCTTTTTGGATTTGATGATAGTCTTTGCTCGTCTGTATGTGGGTCCTGAATACATTAAGGAAATGCTAATTAAATAAACCCAGAAGGGCTCTGAGGTATGCAAAGCAAACATGGTGATAGTGGCATTTAGCAGTTATGCTGCACGCGAATGGAATAAATTGCCAACAGATGAGAAGGCAGCCCCGAGTATAAATGGATATAAAGCCAGGTTTAAAAAAAAAAAAAAGCAAAGCTTATTTCACATTCCTTTGATTAAGAGCATTTTAAAAGTGATTTTCATAATAATAATCTGGCCTTTTGGTATTTTCAGAAAGCTACACTGAAAAAAACTTTCTATTGAATGGCGTCAATTATATTTCATCAAGTGGTTTCAGGTCATAAAAATCATCTGGATCCAGATCCTTTTCTTAAATTGAGGATACGTCTACTTGTGAAATGTTTTGAGTGAAATGTGCTATCAAAATAAAGTTGCCTTGTAGCCCAGTAGTTGCTTGAAAATAGTGGATTTTCATCCGGCCTACCTACCAAGTCATGTCTGGAGAAACTCGGTGTTGGGATTGTACAGCCCAGCTTTTGTTGCCAAGACGACCAGGGACGGAACCTGAGCTACAAAATATAAACTACAAAAGACACCTGCATAATCCAGTATCATCTAATTGCGCATAAAGCATATGAACCAACATCAATTTGCACTTTTGGAACTCTGCATTTCAAGTGTTAAAATGCAAGAGTCCCACTACCTTGGTTCGTACAAGCAAGCACCCCAACATCATCAAAAACAAACTCAAGGTCTCCTCCTCCATACAAGCATTGCTCCTCTGCTGGCCGAGAGAATGACACGGACCGACGCCAGTCAAGGTCTACCACGACTCAGAAGGGATATGAACACGAGGACTCATTTTCAAGCTACACTGGTGACACAAAATGTACAAAATACTGTTCAAAAAATGGGTTGCTCTAACTTGAGATGAGGCGGCAGCGCGGAGTGATGTCTCGTGCGCAGAGCTGTAGTGCACCCTGCTGGTCAAATTATGTTACTACAGACACGCGTGACCATGGCACAAAATATTCTCTTACATTTTATAAATTCTTAATCTATGAAATATATACTAACGTGTGTGTTTTTTTTCCTCCATTCACACAAAAGGTGATCGGTGAAAGAGTGTTATTTATAGAACTGCAAATTGAATTTATGGCGCCTAAAGTGGTCTGCTCTGTACAATATGAGAAATACAATCTAATAATAAATTTAAAAACGTGCTAGTTTTGGAATTAAAGATAAAATGAAGCTTTTTTGTGTGTTTGTCTATTTTTTCTCACCGTATCGATGCAGCAGCCACTTAAAACTGACTCACTTCCAAATATGTAATGTTCAAGCAATTACAGTAGAGGGCAGCAGAATTGCAAAAACACAAAAATGCATCAATTTCACAATTGTGGTTGCTCCCCATGACCTTTTCGTTGACAAATAGTACAGTGCACATAAACTAATCTATATCTATAATAAAGATCACGACAAAGATGATAGCAATATACGTGAAACGTGCTAAAACTATTCGACTATTTAATAAATCTGACATCATTGATTGTTTGATTTTTTTTTTTAGGTTATCTGGAATGTGAATTTAAACTGATGACGCCATTTCAGATTAATTCATTGCCAGATTCGTTCTGATCACACAGATAACATCCATCCTCCCCTCCATTTTCGATCCCAGCTCACAACCTTCTGACGTAAACACTATTCAGTCTGCAATGAAGATGATGTGTGGAGAACTGTCCCCAGAAAAAAACAAACAAACAAACACAAGCACAGGGAGAAAATGCAAACTCCACACCTGATCTGAAATGCAGAAATTCTTGATTGTGAGGCAACCACCCTAACTACGAAACCACCATGCTGTCTAACTGATCACAAGGCCTACATTACTTGAGTCAATGTGTAACAAGGTAGGAAGGAACAGGAAGCAATAAACTAGCGTATCCTTCCAGACAGACAAGGAGATGATTGCTAACGGTTTTAGATAACGCTTTATGACGAAAGATAAATAACGTTCTTGGATGGAAAATAACCAGAGATGGAGAAATGCCACTTTTTCTGAATTTTTTTGTTATTTATTTGTGTGATATGACGCTGTGAAAAATTTGCTTGCACGTCAACTGGCATTGAACCTGTCAACTTCAAGTTTGTTGACTCTCTGGTCTCCGTCACACCACCGTCTTTAAACATTGCACACACACACACACACACACACACACACACACACACACACACACACACACACACACACACACACACAGACACACACCGTGCGCATGGTCATAGACTCATGTGCGTCACTGTTTCCATTCTGAGGATAAATAAATCCCGAGCACAACCGTACACAGTCAATGAGGGCAGGCCCAGCTGCTCTCGTCCCGCATTGAGTCACGTGACGAGTCGTTGAACACAATTTAGCAAGCTATCCGACACGAGACCATGACCTCATGAACATTTTTTACACGTTGCAAGACCATCGAGGAGCTCAAAGTCAGACCTATCTTCAAATGCCGGAGGTGACCTCCGGCTGAATCATTACCCAGGCGCACCGCGTGACCCTGGTGCCGAGCACAAGAGCTTCCATAAAAATAAATAAAGAAAGAAATAATAAGGAAAGGGCATCTGAGTCTGACCTGCAGTGTTATTACAGTTCAAGCACGGGTGTTTTCATGTTTTAAAAACCTACTTACCTTCTTGCATTTTGGCTTTTGGGGTTGGCACTTTTTAAAATTGTGTATTAACTGATCTGTAATGTCATTTCTGATACTGCACTGAACCATCCCTTCCTGTGTTACATTAAGTTTCATCTGTGGTTCCATGTCTAAGCCCCCCCCCCCCAAAAAAAAGAAATTTTTTTTTGGGGGGGGCAAAAAAAAAAAAAAAAAAAACACTTGGAGGTAACGCTTCAAATGCTCACCAAAGCAAACAAAGCATCGTTTGTTGCATTCTGGGATGCACCTGTTGCGTTTCATTGTGCAAGATTATTTCTCACCATTCTCCTGTTCGGATTCTTTTCCCACAGAGCGACCTGGAAGTCAATATCTCTGCAACCTCCCATCAAGACGTGATCCTCGGACACCCACAGCACTATTGACAGTAAAAACACAGTTGAGGATACCATCTCAATAGGATGTGTTTGCTCTGCTCCAGACCGGGATCACGATCGCCTTTTTTATTGTGGTCGATGCTTTGCACACCTGCAGTGAAGAGGAACATCTTGCCCTGAGAGCGACCCTGCCTTGTTTCCACCGTTCTTTTTTTTTTTTTTTTTATGTACCTGCACATTTCTCACCCTGCATACCAAAGCAGCACAAAAGGCCCCGAGGCGCCATTTTCATTTGCGGACAGCCATTCAACTGTTCAGTAAATATAACAAGGGCGATCTGACAGCAGTGAATTTCAGTGAGAGCCAGGCTGTTTGAAAATACCGACTTTGAAAGCGGTCACGGCAGCTTCCTCAACTTGGACCTTGGGTTTGTTTGTGTGCGTTGCGGTGTCGAGTTGTTTGCAGCGCGGCGGAAGGTGGTCATGACAGAGATGCGGCACACATACAGTGTCAACTTGTATCGGTGCAAATAATTCTGGGTCAACCTGTGTGTTAATGTTTAACCCTTTCATGCACCCTGTGACCAGATAACATGATAAGAAGTCCACTATAGTAACCGCCGTCCCTAAAAGGGTTCAAGGAGGCATATCGGGCATTTTTAAGCAATTCCCTGGTTGCTAAATGACATGTCAATAGCATGACTTTATCAGGCATCAAGAATTAAAGCACATTTGATCGTCTGCTTGGAGGTGGACCTTCGCTTACAGGATGTAGTTTTGTACTTGATATGATTGCAAAGCAGTTGAAACTAAATCAACAGTGCCGTCGCTGGTTGCGGTCATGTCGTGCATTCCATTCTGTTTCAACTGCTTTAAGACCCGATGAATCAAAAAAAAAATAAATAAAATTGCATCAGGTTATGATGTCGTTTCATCGTTACTACTCTGCTTGACGTCTGCACTTAAAAAAAAAAAAAAATTCAAAAAGATGAGACAAAATGAAGATATCTAACCATTTTTTTGCCAGCCTGCAAAATGTTAACAGAAGAAGGGCGCAATTCGGTAGATTTGAAAATGTTCCATTGCAAAAGCCTTACAATAACGAACCCAATGCGCTTCATGTTGCAACACATAAGTACAGTCCGACATGTGGAAGAATGTAAGCAAGCAGAGAGTGGTTTTTTTTTTCAAGGGAGTGGCCTTTGTCCCAACAAGCTTAGCCATCACTGCAAAGCAAACAGTCCTTGTGCGCAGAAGACTTTTGCATCAAGGCTGCCCAAAAATGTTCAGCGATACAATTTCCTTCCCGGGCTCAGATCCAGTACGTATTTCTGGAGGGCATATTTCATAAGTGCATTTAAATGTTTTTTTTTTTTTTTAGCTGATGTGACTGGTTTGTCAGTTGATGTTTTGTTTTCTCAACTTGGGTAAACACGTCGACATATAACGAGCGAGTCCTTCTTTCCCCTTCAAATGCCCTCCTGCAGTTTCTCCCATTGACTCTTTGTGTATGTCACACTCCAGCCCCTTGTGAGTTTCCATCCTACCTATCGCTATGTATATCACGCAGCTGGGTCGACATGACGCATGCAGCCCGTCGGGCGGCCCTCCGCCCCATCGCCTTTGCACGCGCCGTCGGACTGTGTTTGGCAACAAATACATGTGGACGTTACATTCCACTCACACATAGAACAACACACAGCCTTGGTCATGAGGACTTTAGACAAGTGATGTCACGAGCCACTGGTGCTAAATGGTGTCCCTCAGTTTCCTTGAAGCAAAATGCCAAATCCACGGCATTAGCCACAATTGTATCATTAAATTCAGCTCCTTCCTTTTGGAATGAATGCAACGAGTAAAGCGATCCATGTGAAAGGACTTTGTTGGATAAATAAAGGGTCCCGATGGGCTGCATCATACAGTAGAGTGCAGTGGACTTGTCTTAGTTTGGCCTTGTATGGAATAAGAAGTTGGTCAGGAGTCTTGCGGTGGAAAAAGGAAGACCGACAGCCAGAATCTAGTCAAGCAGGACAGAAGCAGAACTAATCTGAAGGGTTATGCAACACTGGGGAGCAGTGGGTGCTACAGTCTTGGTGAGCAACTAGAAGCGGAATAACACTGAGCCCAGGACAGGTGATTCTACCCACATGCGTTTTTTTTAAACAAACACAGTGTAGCTAAGCCTCTGGTGAGCGGCCGTCATGGCTAGCAAGATAGCTTTTTGGCAGCACATCAAACAGGTGAGCTCATTCAAAGCGGCAACACACGGACATAAATATCAGTGAAGCAGGAAAATCAAATAGGGTGGTGCCAAGACAACTTCCATGGGTATTTAAACAGCCTCTCCCAGGACTCTACTCATGAAGTCCAAGCAATAACAAGTGTCGTGGAGATTTTATAGCATTCATAAGTCACACAGATCAAACTGTCACTGTTGCATTTGAACTGTTGACATTGCACTTGCCTTAAAAGATGAAAGATTGAAGCTGAAATTCAGAAGGGAGGCCATTACAATGAAAGGTGCATGAGAATTGCAATGATAAACTCTTACGCTCCATTTTTTTTTTTCCCTCTTGGGCATATTGACTCAGCGACAGCATCTCTCTTGGGATGCAGATGTCTGTAATTTGGCAAAATATCTCGCAGACGGTGGAGAAATTTGTCTGAGCAAGTATGTGTGTTAACAAATCCAGTCGAAATATTGCGCAAGGAGCGCTGAGGCCTTATTTCCACTTTGCTTCAGAGGAGCAATGAGTTGATTATCTTGCCGCAATGTTGGAATGATATCATGTAACATGTCGGGGCATTGCAAAGGCGCGCAATAGCTCAGAGCCGAAGAGAAGGAGAGCATCCACTCATTATCAGCACTTCACATATGCATCTCTCTGTTAAATGCAGCACGAATGGTTCATTCCGAAAAACGTACGAATGTAACTTGAGGTTTTAGAATTGCCAGTTATCGGTGATTGCTATTGGTACGCGGGCTCCCTCTAAAGGTCGGCGAAAGAAGCACCGAGTTAAATACAAATACCATTTACAACATTTAAAACATGAAATACAAGTGTAAGATCATGTTGTATTATTAATTTTTGTCATTTTATGTTTTAGCATCATATTATTTCATGTGAACATTACCGAAATTACATTCTGTTGTTTAATAATTGCTTAGATATGTTTTTATGTTGATAGCTTCTGATTGGCTGAAGGAAAGGAAAGCAGGAAGTGATTCAGTTGCAGAGAAAAGTGTTTTCGATTGTACTGCGGTGCGGACGTTTGCAAATAAAACTGCGTTCAAACGGAGTCCATCTCTCCTTTTGCCGTTTCTTAAAGTTTAGCCATTGAAGCCATCATTTATCGATTTGCATATTTAGCTTAACGACTCATTGCGGACAGATATACTTTGACGATAGTGTGACCTCGCTCTGAACCTTGTGATGTGACCTCGACTTGAACTGCCTTAGCGACGGAAAATAATGTTAACACCTTTTGCAGACATAGACCACAACGGCTGTGCATGCATCTCTTAGCTGGTCTGCGGCTTCACACAAATTTCACAACATAGTAGCCAAAATTGAAAGTCGTTTTATGAACGTCGGCTAGCTTAATGCTATGACACAATGCAAAACACCATAGACAGGATAGCAAAACTAGCATTGACGTTGTGATAATTGTTACTCTTCCAACAATTTTTTTTTTTTTTTTTCGGAACACAAACTATAGCTACACATGCGGACCGGGCCTACGTCAAATTTACACGTAGTATGTCCGTATAATCTATACCGATATGTAGTTGACAAGGCACACACAGCAGAAGGAGCAGCACAATGCCCATTGCATTATCACAGTCCACACATGAATTCACGAAAGGCGTACCGCGATGAAGCGCAGGTTCCCTGCATTCATGGATCAGCGATGCCGTGATGGTTTTCAACACAATCCGCTGCAGTCGATCAAACTTTATCCAACCTGCAGCATGTTGACGCATTGAATGGCAGAACTCAGTCAAAGCTGAAGGCTTTCTTAAGTATTGCTTGCGTGTCAACCAACAAACAGACGCATCTTTCCCTGCAGATAAAGCAACATATAGTATGTTTGCGTAAAAAGGAGGTGGCCTAGGAGTGTCAACATTGCACATCGCACATTCATGTCTTCCCTATCTGCACACATACAGTAGCGGCTTGTGTGTACTGTACTTAGACGGCGTCGAGTTCATGGCATGTGTGCGCAGCTAAATTGAGAACTTTGACATGCTCTGCTTCTTGGCCAGAGCCGAGGAGGCTTTGCAAATAAATAGCCAATAAAGAAGCCACATGAGAAAAGCTGCTAATTTTTTTCGACCAAGAATGTGGAATTTTGAGGTTTCTTCCATGTCGGGTCCCTTTGAACTGCGATAGTTGAAAAGAAACATGAGTGACCTTGTTTTTCTGGGGCGTCTCTGCCACGTTGCAGGCAAATGCGCTTGCATACGCAGTTGAAGTTCAACCACTAAGTTTGCTTTTGCCTTTAAAGTGGACAAACGATTGGGAAATTGAATTTTTAATTACTTGTTTATAAATAGTTTGGGTTGTGGCTACTTTACGTGACTGAAGTGCTGCCCCCACAACTGAAAATATGGACAATCAATGCTTGCTGTCGTTTTGGGCACTTGCTTTTTTTCTTCACACTCCCGTAGTAATCACTATTGCAATACTGTACTTAGCTCCGCTGCTGGTCGTCATGGTAACAGAAATTGTGCATTGGAACAGTTCTAAGGGGGCAGATTGAGCAGTGGCTCATTTGCAAGAGACCGCACCCCCTGAGGCTGAGTTCAAATTCTTGATCCCTTGGGTTCTTTGACATCTGCGGACTGCTTCAAATTGTGAAAAATGCACAATAGGTTTCCTTTAACGTCATATTTTCATGGCATCACATTATTATATTTCACAAACGAGGCATTTCCAGTGAGGCAATGCTATTCGAGAAGCCATATCCTCTGCAAAAATGACACGTACTGTTGAAGAATTTCATCTTTTTTTTTTTCATGGAAAATAAAGTTCACAGCAGTATTCTAAAACTAAGGGGAAAAAAACTCACTGTTTCAACATGCCTGGAGATGAAACGTGATTTTGCAGGGCACTATTTTCTCCATTGTAGGATTTTTGAGGTAGCAACAAAAAAAAAAAAAAACACACACAATAAGCATAAATATTTCAAATATCAATTGAGTCGAAGAAAAAAATATTTTGGCCATGCAGTCAGCCTATTATTTATTCATTTAATTTCATTTCTTTTCTTATTGCTCATGAACCATTCATCCATTTGTGTTGATCAGGGTCACCGGTGAGCTCCGGAGTCTACTTAGCGCTCACTTTGAATATCAGAAGGGAAATCTACTACTCATCCGTTCTGATATATTAGATTCCCCCACCCACAGCGTCTGCAAAAATGCAAGATCACGGGCAGAGAAGCAACCGCGTGGTAGTTCCAACATGGCACCACCACGAGCCAACCAATCAGATTGCTCAGATGCTATCTCTTGGATGGCTACCCGCTCTCCGGTGGCATATTTTCATTGTATCTGGGGACTGCTATGATATGCTTTGATGCATTAATTATGCACAACGTGTCATCAGAAAATAATGGAACAGATGTTGGCAAAAAGTTATTTATCATTAACCTGGAAATGAAATGACATTTCAAAGTTCTTCTAACTTAAATTACGGTTCGATCCCCAAAATACAAGTTGTGCTTTTTACAGTGTAGCGACGATGAGGCAGCACATTTCATAGCATGCGTTGCAGCGCAGTTAAATCTTATAAATAGTTGTTGATATGACACACTCAAAACAAGGAAATAAAAGGTAGCAAAAAAGATAAAGGAACATTTCAGATGAAAGGACTGGAAGGACAGAGTGACTGGATGTCAGTTGTGGCCAATATCAGCTCTTGAATGACTATACATACAAGGACGTGACGGTATTTTATGGAGACGCGGAGATCAAATTTGAAATCACATTTCACTTCTCATGTAACATTCATTAGCATAGTGCCTAGCAATGTCTATTTTATGAGCCTCTAGCCAAGATGAGTGATTATTTTAGATGTTTTGGTGCCTTTATTTCAAGCAAAATAAACTGACAAATAGAAAAGTAAGAGTATGATAGATGTTTTTAAAAATTTAATTGACAATAACTTCTCAACAGTTTATTCGCCTCTTGCTTCAACTACTTGCTCACAAAAAAAAAAACAAGCATATGAATAACAAAGCTATTAGAATGTGTGCATCCTCAACGCATTTGATTTCTTAGGTGCTATCGCTTATAATAAAACATATTTTAGAGAAAATGTACGGTACAGTCTTTTTTTTTTTTTTTGGTATGACAAGCGATAAGCCCACGCGAGTACATGTGTAAACGGTCATGCCAATGTGACGTGTCCACGGAGGCGTGGCTAAAAGTGGGGTGAAGAAACGTTACAAAGGGGCGGGGAAGTCTAAAAAAACGACTACGTCCACCTTATCCACATCTTCTCACTTTGCTCTCAGATTCCACGGAAGTCTACTTCACCAAACCTAACTGAAATCTCTCGCTCTCTCTTTTTTTTTATTGAATTATTTTTCTCCTCTTTGTGTCACGATAACGCGACGAAGCAGCAATTCTGACATGGCCAAGGGAGAAGGAAGCGAACAATACTCCAACGCCACTTTATTGCCAAAACCTGGCAACTCTGATGGCATTTTTCTTCCGACAAAGGTGGGTACTTTTTTTTTTGGGCAATTAGATACCAAAAGATTTGCTTTTAGTTCAACTAAACCCATTTAGTGGGTATTCAAGAAGGAGAAAGGGCTGCCAGCTCCACACCGCCTTTGGATGAATGAACAGAGCACGCCGGCCAGTTGGAATTGTCATTTTCAAAAGGGAGTGTCTCATTCATTGATTCCTTGCGCGCCGCGCCACGGTTTGATTCTAATTTATATTAAATTTAAGTCAATGATAAATGGAGGAAAAGTTTAAAACCCGCGCTTATTAATCCCACCGGTGCAACCGAAGACCCATTTTATATGCATGCCTCGTGACAGTCTTCAAATAGGATGAAGCCGATTACATGCTTTAAAAAAAAAATCCTTGGAGGACATAATGATGGCTGTTTTGTTGTCTGCAAGGCCTGTGGTTTTAAACTAGACGTTCACGAGTCATCTCAGAGCTAAGTGGGGTGAAGAAACGTTACAAAGGGGCGGGGAAGTCTAAAAAAACGACTACGTCCACCTTATCCACATCTTCTCACTTTGCTCTCAGATTCCACGGAAGTCTACTTCACCAAACCTAACTGAAATCTCTCGCTCTCTCTTTTTTTTTTTATTGAATTATTTTTCTCCTCTTTGTGTCACGATAACGCGACGAAGCAGCAATTCTGACATGGCCAAGGGAGAAGGAAGCGAACAATACTCCAACGCCACTTTATTGCCAAAACCTGGCAACTCTGATGGCATTTTTCTTCCGACAAAGGTGGGTACTTTTTTTTTTGGGCAATTAGATACCAAAAGATTTGCTTTTAGTTCAACTAAACCCATTTAGTGGGTATTCAAGA